TGTTGTGCTGGCGTGTCTAGAAAACATACAAAGTGTTCTGAGTCTCCAGACTGCTCTCTAGCCGAGCTTTTTTAACTTTCCACAGACTAATCCAGCACACGCTGGTGACAGACAGGCTGTTGTAGAGGCAAGAGTTAGTTCATCATAGACAATAGCAATGAAGCTGATAGCCTACTTGCCAAGTCTGTTGCCTTTGAGAGTCTGTTACCCTTGAGCTCTGGGTGTCTGCATTTTCTTATAGTGAGAAATCTCATTGGAGGATTACTATTGTACATGACTTCCGTGTCTTAACGTGCAAGTCAGAAAGCTTCCGTCCTCCTGTTGCTAAGATGAGCAGTGATGTGTGAAAAGGTTGATGAGTCAAAAGGTTTCCCTCTGACACCCACCCATCCCTGCACAGCAGTGTCTGGAGTACTCAGGCAATGTTAGTCCATCACATCGCCTCTAAACACCTGCCTAAGTCCCTTCTCTTGCTTTCCCTGCCCCCAAAGAAACTGATGATTCTTCTGAGGGTGTGAAGGAGAAACCCCTCTGGGGCATTTTCCTGACACTCCATCTCAGTGCACAGGCTTGTGTGGTATAAGAGCAGAGTTCTCTATAGCCCAGTAGAGATTTTATAGAGGCTCCTGAGCCACCGAGGCTCTAGACGGGTACCTGTTCTAGCAATGACAGCAGACTGGTGCGCAGACTTTTCAAGTCCAGGCTGCAGACGATGGTGACACGCACTTCCCGCCTTAGGAGATTGTGTCAGAGTCATCCTTCCTTTGCATCGCTGTCCTTTCTTTGATTGTTGTAAATGGGGTCTTCCTGCTGTATTTGTCACACACTGTGCACCCTCCAAGCACATGATTTACTGGTTGCTGATGAGGAAACCAAGTCAGAGAACTGAAGCCTGCTAACATGGAGTAGGCCACACTGCACATGCTAAGGTGTCAGACTTCCGCCCAACATGGTATTACAGACCTGTAACTTCAGCACTCAAGAGGCTGAGGCAGGAGGATTGTGAGTTGAAGGCCAGTCTGGGCTATGCAGCAAGGTTGAGGCCAGTCTGAGCAAGACCCAGTCTAAAGGGGAAAAATAAAAACAGCTTTTGTAAAGGAAATTCACATCCTAATTTGACAAATTACAAAACTCTTAAGCCCCACTTCAGGGCATTTAAAAATATATATATTATTTATGTGAATTGTAAACTAGATAATACAGGCTTTCCCGTTTTCTTTAAAATTGAGTGTTTGTTTTTTGTTTTTCTATATTAAGCTGCCACTTTGATTAACTTCTGCCCTCAGAACTGAACTTGGGCCTTTGTCATAGACTCTTCAGCAGCAGACATGCTTTAGTGTTGGGGTCCTTTGGGGAGAAAAAGTGACACAGCAGGGGAGTCTATAATGCTGGTCAGAAGTCAGGGTGCTCTGCACCCACAGCCTGGCATCAGATCCCACCCCCAGCATTCCTGTAGATGAGGTGCCTATGCTCCAAGTCTCACCTTGGGCCCCTGTGATGGAGAGTTTCTGCCCTCGTCATGCCATAGAGCCGCACTGATAGTGGCTACCCTCTTCAGTCCAGCTGGGTATGGGCCCCTTGGCTACAGTTTCCTCTGTGGCTCAGTATAAGAATCCCACAGAGATTTCTGCCCTTAAATTCTCAGCTCAGTAAAGTGGGGAGCCTGTCCGCGTGTGTTGTCGACTAATCCACAGCACATTATAGATTGGGTAGAAATGAGACCTTTGTCGACCTTGGGGAAAGCCAGTCATTAGGGGTTTTTTTTTTTTTTAGCACACACTGTGTACTTAGCACCTCTAAACAAAGTGAGAAAACCAGAGGCTTTCTAACAAGAAACCTGCTTCATCAATATCTCAAAAACTCCAAAAATACAGAGAAAGTATGAGGCATTTGCAGTGGCCTCTGTGCAAATGTTTCTTTTTAATAGCAAATGAAATGGAAGGTGGGACCGTGTAGGGAGAGTGCTAGTTCTGTTGTCATCCCTCCCCTCTCCCCTGAGGCCTTCCTTCAGAAAGTCCCCATCTTAGAGGAGGGCAACTGTTTCTGGCCGTGTGCAGTTGTAAATGGCATGGCCCTGCAGAAAGCTGGAGATACACACAAGATACACACACACACCTTTTTCCTCCCTGGGCCCAGGAGAAAGTCTATATATATCTCCCTGTATTTATCTTTACTGCTGGTGAAGCTCAGGGCGTTAGAGTGGGACCTTAGAAATCCGCATTGCAACTCAGGTGCCAATCACTAGTTCCAGAAACCCCACTTTCCCACCACAACCTGCCCTTCGAGAACAAACCTTCAGGGGTACAAAGGATTAGTGCAATTTTCCAAGCTGTGGGTCCTCAAAAGGAACCTCAGAAGTAACCACGGGAATCTAGGCCCCCAGCTTCTTGCCTCTTCGTAGAAGGCAAAGCTTGGGGATTATTTTCCACCAAAGTTAAAATAGATTTGTGAGTGTCTACATAGTGCCATTTCTTCCAGGGCATTCTTACCTTTGCAGTAGTAGATAGTGTCCGGCTCTTCAGCCCTCCTAGGGCCCTACTTCAGGAGGACAGCGGCTCTGAAGTGCACTAAGCTGCCGTTCCCACTGCCTTGACTTGATCTGGTGGTTAAAGTGAGTTTGCTGGTTCTGGGAAGGCCTTTACCAGACACCAGCTGCTCTGCACAGAGCAGCTGCTGACACAGAGGGACCTTAGCACTCACCTTCACCTCCCTACTGGATTAGTATCAGATTAGTGGCTGAGATCTTTTTAAGAAAGATTTCCTGAACTCTTGAGCTTAAATCAAATGTTTGACAAAATTATTTGTTAGTCACTCCTCCGACTGTAGTATTTTATACAGAACCCAAAATTGTCGATTTATTTTCCTAGTTTTTAAAACACCACTATAAAACTAAGACATTCTCAAAGTTTACAATGTAATGAAAGTCATACTGGAGTGTGGTGGATTTTCTCTAAGGTGATATCATGCATTTAATGGAAATGCAAGAAGTCACAAATTGTTTCTAAGTGCCTTTTTGAAAAGGTAACTGTTTGCTTTGAAATTAGAACAGATTTGAAAATGTTTATTTTCTTATAAAGGTGTATATATTTATGTTTTATAGAACTAAGGTTATATTCAGTAGTGAAACTGGTTTCCAGTTGCCAGTGTAGAATGGGAGTCCGCCAGCCTATTAAATTAAAAGATAAATCTCCCATAGTGAGGGTGGCTCTCCCCACAGCTCTCCTCACAGGGACTTTGTCACTTCCCTCTGCCCTGCTGGCTCCTCATCCTCCCCACCATAGGAATTGCTTAGGACCATGCTTCCTGGGGATTAGAGACCCAGGAGATTGAGTCAGTGACTCAGAGATGGTCTATGTTTCCTAGTAACTAAGGATGATTAATGCTGGCAGCCCCCTCCTGCTGTTAAAGTACTGAGAATAGGAATTCTAAAGGTAGTAAGTAAAGGAGTGAGGAGCCATAGGCCACCCGGCCTGAACATTAGTCCCAGACCCACACAGGCGCAAAGGAGAGCAGCTCACGCCCGGCAGGCAGCCATCAATGAGACCTCTGTTACATTAGTGGGCTACCTTCCCAGTGCCCATGTCTGTGCATGGCTATGGGTGTGTGCCCTTACATGGGAGGCAAGATCTTTCTTGTCCATCAGCCTGGCATTGGCAAATACCAAAGCCTAAGAAGGTGTTTCATTCTGTCATGCAGAATTCCAGTCCTCACTCAACATTTGAGGAACAAAAAGACTAAGTGGCCTGGTTTTGGAGTCTTAAGACAGCTAATTTCTCTTTCTTTGAATATGAGCTGATAAGATTCCAGCAAAATTTGCTGACTGGCAGGTGTGTGTGTGTGTGCATCTACACATGTGAAATCACAGATGTGTTTGCTCTGGTTTCCTTCAATATGAGTCTGTGACAGTGGTTCTCAACCTATGGGTCATGACCCTTTTAGGGTCAAGCAATCCATTTGTGGGTTGCCTAAGACCCTCAGAAAACCAGATATCTACATTACAATTCACAACAGTAGATAATTACAGTTATGAGGTAGCAACGAAAATAATTTTATGGTTTTATCACCACAACATGAGAAACTGTATTAAAGGGTCGTAGCATTAGGAAGGTTGAGAACCGCTGTCTAAGAGAACAGAGATCAGTTTTCTCCACAATAGTTTTTTGAAGCAGGATCTCTCATTGGACGTAGGGCTTACTGACTCCATGATATGCCTGTCTCGGGTGTCCCATCTAGAATACAGGTGCACTCGGTTGTGCCTGGATCCTTAAATTGGCTCTAGCGACTGAACTAGGGTTCTCATGCTTGTGCAGCAAGCACTTAACAACTGAGTTGTTTTCCCAGCCACCCTGAGAGTATTTAAACTTCCCCACTTATCTCACTCGTGCTACATTTTATTGTTTAAATTTCAAAATTGACTGCATGATTTTGTTTTTGATCCTAGCGCTGGAGAACATGCAGCTGGTGTTGATTTGATAAGTACTGAAATTGGTGTCCTTTGATGAGAACTCTGAACTGCAGTGGCCACTCAAGGCCCAGTTGTAATTCAATAGAATATTGGTTCTGCTGGAATTTCAAACAGAGAACTAATTTCAGCTCCACTGAAGTTTTTGAGGGCTACTGTGTCAAGGAAATTCAGAGATCACTATGTGCTACTTGGTAATCGAGAGCTGCGCTAGCGGAGCATGACCAGCCTCCTTTACCCTGTACACGCGATGTCAGAGTTTCCAGATCAGCACAGAAGAACCTGCAGAATCATGAAGCTCTGGAACATACATGTCCCTGGTGTCTGCAGGAGACTGTGGGCTTAATCTTTATTTACAGTGGTGTTTCCTCAAAAGTCAGGCCACTTGCCAGATGAGGTCTGTCTGGCCTTCTCCCCACATGGTTCTCAATCAGTATCACCCCCTTGTTCTGGTGCCTGAGCGGCTCCATATGACTCTTTCTGGCTGCTGCCTGGGATAAATGAGCAATGCTAATCCCTTTTCACTCTTCTCTCCCAGGATGACTGCAGCACCTCCACTGCCGACGAGGTGGACGCCTCCATGACTTCGACCACAACCAGTGCCTTCACCATCCAGGAATATTTTGCCAAGAGGATGGAGCAGTTAAAGAACAAGCCCCAGGCCTTGACTCCAGAGCCTGACATTTCAGAGACTTCTGTTGAGTGGAAAAAGGGGAAGAAAAAATCCAAAGAGGCAGCAGGCACAGATGTGGAGAACTCTCCCCAGCACAAAATGAAGCAACATAAAAAGAAAAAGCATGTGGAAGCAGAGATGGCGCCTGTGGCCAAGAAGAGAGACCGAGCTGAGCTGCAGCCTGGATGCCCCAGTGGGGACGAGTGTTCCGATGCCTCTGTCGGAACTGCAGAAGATTGTCTGCAACCACCCGACAGCCAGGGTGATGCTCCAAAGTCCAAGAAGAGGAAAGCAAAGAAAAAGCTGCAAAGGCTAGAAGGGGTAGAAATAGACAAAGCACTCCTGAAAAAAAAGAAGAAGAAGAAGAAGGCTTCCAGATGACCTCTCGCTAGCCAGGGCCTCTGACCACTTGGCTGTTAGCACCCTGCAGGGCAAACGCTCTGGCCTGAAGTCAGAGCACAGTGAACCCCAGGCAACTCAGCATCTTCTAACGTGCCCACAGGTTGCCAGCTCTCACCTTCTAACCGTGTTTTCCCCAAGCCACCTTCCTGAGAGAACTGACTTGAACGTTCTAGATGACTTTTCAATAAGTAAAATAAATTTCAATAAACAAATAGATTCTTTCTTATACACTGAACCTTTCACATGAGTGTTTATTCACATCTGTACAAATACAGGTAGGTGTGTGTGTGTGTGTGTGTGTGTTCACTCTGGTTTCCTTTAGTCACTGACTGGTGCTTCCTTCTGAAGGACTTAGTCTAATTAAGGGATTAAGAGGCAGCGACTTGGATGCAGATGGCTCCTTTTGTTCTGCAGCCAGCCATACATTTCTGCCAAGTGGGAATTACATGACTGCATTCCCCGCTGTGGGTTTGCTGTGCTGTGCTTCAGTGTTGGTGGGTGGGTGGTTCTCTCTTCTGCAGAGTGCTGGCCACCAGGGATCCCAGCCACCACCACCACCACCCCCCCCCGCCCCACAGTGACAGCACCAAGTGGAAACAGTGAGTTCTAGCTTTCATAGGTCACCAGGGGTTCCTGCACTGGGTGTAGAGTCAGACTTATTTTTGTCTCATGTTCCTTGAATGAATCCCCTGTGGTGGGCTTGTTTGTGTGTAATGACCAGGAGGTCCCCAGGAAGTTCAAAGAATAGAGAAACTAGGGTATGAAACCTTATCTCCTCTTGAGGACAGGCTCCACATTAGGACTGCCTGTGGAATGTCTTGCAAGTGTAGATATTTATGAGTAGACCATGACACCTTCTGAAATTGACATTTATACCCTGGCAATGCTGAGGCATGCATGGGCAGTCTGTATATAGAGAGCCCATATATGGTGGTAATGTTGACCTTGTCAATATTGGTTTAAGTTGATGAGGATGACTGACCTCTTCCTCAAGAGGGCACCAGATCTCATTACAGATGGCTGTGAACCACCATGCGGTTGCTGGGAATTGAACTCAGGACCTTTGGAAGAGCATTCAGTGCTCTAAACCGCTGACCCATCTCTCCAGCCTTCTAGGCATGCTCAAACCAGGTACCCACAATCCCTCCCCTTGCCACACATCCACATGCCTTCTAAGTGCCTCTATGAGCCAGCCAACTGCTAAGTATGGTGGGAGGGCCCTCAGCCTGCGTCCTCTCTACCACTTGCCTTCTTTCTCCTCTGTCTTCTTTCTACCTCTCCTTGTATGTCCAGTTCCCGGTTTTCCTGCTTGCTTCTCAGGCCCTGCCTCCTATCCTTCTGGGGCACTTTTGTGCCACTGGCCTTAGTTCCAGAGAACTATGGGGGCAGTTAGTGGTCAGGACCACCTCGGTAGGCAATGCCCACGCTGTGGTGTTTTTGCCCTTGATTTTAATTTCTGAGGTCATGTGTGGGGAACTTGACCCCAGAGAGTCTTGAATTAGAAAAATCCACGGAGTCGATCTACTGTCTAAGAACACTGAACAGTCAGTGGCTTCGAAAGATAGCCAGCCTACCACCCTAAAGAGGATCCGGGTGGACTTGGGGCCTGAAGTAATCTCCAGTTTCATCAGGTCTCCCGGTGTTTAGAATCCCGAGCCAATAAAGCCCCAAAGGTTTTTAAAGTCACTTTTCCTCACAACTTCTTTGCTTGCCCCATCTTGTTTGTGAAACTGGAGACCCAGAAGGGAGCGCAGCTGCATGAAAGCTGAAGGTTTACCAGTGCATGTATACGGACTTCTTTTGCCTTGTGTTGTACTGAATTTAAAGATTCGTTTACTAATTTACTCCTGTGAGTATGAGCGGTTTGCCTGCCATGTGTCCGTACACTATGTGCTCGCCTGGTGCCCTTAGGAAGTAAGAAAGAGGGTATCATATGCCCTAGAACTGGAGTTCTGGATGGTCGTACGCTGCCATGCATATGCTGGGGACCCAAAGGGGTTCTTTGCAAGATCAGTAAGTGCTCTTAACAGCTGAGCCATCTCTCCAGCCCCAGTAATTTCCTAGATTAGTAGAAAGGTGAGATTCAAGGGCTGGAGCTCCGTGATAGGGAGCTTGCCTGGCTCCATCCATAGTGAAGAGAAGAAAGAAGAGTGGGAAGGGAGATGGGAGAGAAGAGAGCGGAGTTGTTTGCAGGACTGGGTGCATATGAGATCCATTTAGGCAAACTGGAGAGATGAGTCCCCAGCAGCCCATGTTAGTGGCTTCAAGTCACCTTTTATAGAGGGCTATAGAAAGTGATTGTAGTTTTAATGGGCTCCTGGGTGCTTCTTACATAGTTTACGGTGGTGGGGATCAAGCATGGGACTATTTCTAGTAACTGCCAATCAACCATCTTAAGTAGAAAAAAGAATGTGCTAACCTAAGAGTTGTGTGTGACCATTGGCTTTGAAGGAGACAGAAGGCTTTCTCCAGAAGACTCACTTTTGGTGTTTTCCCCTAGTCCCTCAGACTGTTTCTCAGGTTGGACAGGAAATTAGAATAACAAGGTAAGTCCACAGGGAACTGCGTTTGATAGCCTGAATACTTGGAAAATCACCAGCACACGAGTCCCACCTTCGCCTGGAGTTACTACACTAGGTAAAAATACGTTAATTCTACATCCTTCGTTGCTTTCCTCAACAGCCTCGAGTCATTAGAGGAAATCTGAGTTCCCAGAAGAGCAGCCTTCTGAAGAGTTGCTCCCATGTTGTCTTGCAGGAATCTTTTCTATGAATCTTACTAGACGATTATTGTTAAGCGGAGTCTTATGTGCTGGGCCCTATTCCAAGCACTTTAAATAAATCAACTTGTTAAATTGTCATTCAGCCTTGTGAGGTAACCTCATTCCTGTCCCCTTTACAGAAGAGCCTTTTGTGATGGCTGGAGATTTATGCTGCCCTGAAGCCCCATGATGCCCCAGCACCCTCGCCACACCACCTTGGGGGCCCTTGGCTCTCAATCCCAGCTTCACCTGCCTTGTAGGCCCTTGTGCTGTATCGTTCCCATAGTTTGGTTATTTACTGGTGTGTGGGAAGCGACTGGCAAACACCAGAGATTTCCACAGCTAACCCACATTAGCTATACACGAGAATATGCTCTTGGGTGCATTCGAAACCCCCAGAGGGGCCTCCTTTCCTTCCATGTTGGCCCTGAATTTGTTGGGAACCCGACGATATGAACTTCTTTACAACCTGTGTTGAAGACTGTGGTTAAAAGGATCTTCTGCTTCGTAGGAAATAGTGATGCTTTTGGAAGATAACACCCAAGCTGGCTTTTGTTTTCCTGCCCAGGCCATGCCTCCGTTTCTCTCCTCACCTGTCCCCTGAGTGGCAGGAGCAGGCCGAGACCTGTTTGCTCGAAAGAATCGGCACCAGAAGAGTTTGCCTGCAATCTCTCCCGGTGATCTCAGCTCTTGGATCAGCAAGCAGCGGCTGTATTTAGATTTGAGTAAGAACTTCCTCCCCACCCGCCACCCTGTTTATCTCTCTCAGCTTCTGCAGCCGCTGCAGTTTAGAGCCTGTTGTGCTGGCATGGAGCAGGAGAGGTCAGATCGGGTGCCCGGTGTGGTGTGTGCTTTCATGGCGTACCATTATTCATGAGCAAATTAGTACCATGTCCTAATAGAGGAGGTGACTAACCTTGCATCCAAGCACAGTCTATTTAGGAAATACTGAATATATTAGCATGACACACACAAACCCTCCTGGATCCGGCAGGAGGAGAAAAAGGCAGACAGGGACATTGTGTATAGAAGGGGAATGGAGAAAGCCGACTGAATCAGAGGTCCCGAAGTGGCGATGGTTGCAGCTGAGGACCAGCTAATGGACTGAGGGCCTGAGCTGAATTTTCATGTAAGGCTAAGTCACCATGTAAAGAAGCCTACAGTAAGTTCTTCTGAGGGATGGCCCTTGTAACTAATTACATCTGGAATTTTCCACACTGGATTTCCTTGGGAAAGTGAACACAGATGCCAAAAGGCAGCTATTGTAAGAATGTTTCTTGGTCACCACCTTCAGGCTTCAGGCTGCTCACGGTGGAAGAGCTGACCCACAAAAGTCTACCGACATCCCTGTCTGCCCGGCTTGTCCTTGAAAGTAGACCGGTAGATCCTGAGCTAATCCCACTGCACACGCCCAGGATCTAGCCTCCTCTTCCCCAGCCAAGGAGTGTATCATCCCGAGATCATCCATGTCAGTACTCCAGTTGGGCCAGGATCTTCAAGAAATTCTTTGCCAGCCCATTATTTCACCCGAACCTGGGAGCTGATGTGTTCTGAAATCTCCGTGTCAACAGCATTTCTAGCTGATTAACTGATAGTCATTCTCCGTGTGTCCCTTCCCACATGGCAACAGGCATGGATTTTTTTGCCACCCGCCCTCTGGAGTTCATGTGAATGCCAGACCCCAGCTACCCTCCAGTGGCCATGCCGTAGCAACTCTGCTGAGGGGCAAGGATGGAAGGAGCAAGGGAGACAGCCTACTCCACTCACTGCCAGAGATACCCCTTCAGTCGGAAGGGACCAAGCCAACCACTGAGGTGTCTGTTAAAATGTCCTACTCAGCTTTACAATGTGAAACATTTAGGGAATGAGTAATCTGGGAGACCATGGCCAAGAATGGCAAATGTGTCCGGTTTCCTTCACCTCCCCTCCTTCGGCCATTCTGTAATGTCTGCCCCGGACTCCTCTCCACTCCTTGACTCTTCCTGCCCTCCACTTGGAGGAGGAGAACTTCACACACCCTGAGTGTTGTGGGGCTTCTGTGCCCTTCTTCCCTCTCACTCTGTGGCGTTGCTCCTGATCTCTGTTGCTACTGCAACCTGGACAATTAATTCCTAGCTCTGTCTGCACCTCAGTGATGTCAAGCCTTTAGCCTACCTCTCCAGATGGCCTTTTCCAGCACCTTCAAATCCTAGGGATCATCCAGGAGCTCTTGCTCATCTTTTATGGCTGCCCTCTGGACCTGCCGTTGTCATAGGAACCATTTGCACTCACAGATGTCAACTCCAGTATTGCGAGTTTTCAACTGCTCTCCCCCATCCTCCACCAATGTGCATGAAGCAGGCTGTCCTGAAACTCATAGCTCAGCACTTCCGCTGAACCCCTTTGTCTATGGGCACTTCCCAGCATGCATCTGGCATGCCTTTCCACTCTCAAATCTCTGGGACATTCTCCCCTGTGCTGGGCTCCCTAGCTCT